GCTCAGTTGGTTAAGTGTCTGACTATTGATTTCAGCTCAGGTCATCATCTCCGAGTTGTGGGATGGAGCCCCACTTTGGGCTCCGTGCTCAGAGCAGAGTTTGCTTGGGATTCTCTTTCTCCCTCTCCCCGACCCCACCTGCACTTGTGCATGATCAAGCATGCTCTCTCTCTCAAATAAAATATTCAAAAACAATTAATTGCATCCCAAGTATAATTACAACTAACTTTTATTGAGCTAAATACATCAAAATATGTCACCTATAATATCATATATAATTCCTTCTACAGTTTCAAGAGGGACATATTATTATTTTGCCTAATTTTTAGATGAGAAAACTGAGGCATAGAAAGGCACAGAAACTTGCATAGGATCTCAGGGTTTTCAAAGATTTGAAAAGGGTTTCATCTGACAGAGGTCTGAATGTGTACTTGTTCTGTTAAGGAAGGTTTGGCCTAGGACTCACATAGATGTATGTAAAAACAGGATGTGATTTTATAAAATAATGTAATACATTACATGAAAATTAAAAATCAGGTAATCTGATAGGTTGTAATATGAAAAAAATAAGTTTCATTCTGAATAATCTGTGCATGCACTTATTTCTTTGGGTCCTTTTAGATGTATCTATTCACTTCCCTAATGAAGCACAATGAATAGCTCATGTTTGTCATCCCTTCTCTCCCTTCCTCTTATTTAGACATGTTTTATTTTTCATGCTGCTATTGTTTACCTCTATAACTTTAAATACTGTAACTCAAACCTTATTTCTTCACTTGCCAAGTTGAGGCAGCATTTCTTGACTTGCCACTAAATAAGAGATGAAATCAGCACGACAAATTTGTTTTGTCTTCGGATGATTTTGGTTTCATATTTTATTAATGGCAGCTTGACAAGAATAAGTAAAGGCAATAACTTTTTATTATTATTTGTGCTTTATTATAGAGCATATAGTATGTAGTAAAGGAGGGTCTGTCAAACATTGTAAAGGAAACTGCTGAAAATGTATTGGACCCAGGGTGTGGGCTAGGCTGGCATCCCTAGTGGTGACCATTGGCCAAGCTAGGGAGAACATGTTTCTTCCAACCGGAGATCCAGGAAAGCAGGACACTCTGAGGGAGGGTGTGAGGTCACTGGGCTCAGTTCAGTTCCCAGGTGAGAATGTCCCTTCTGGAAGGCTGCAGTGGAAACTGGTGAGGACAGAGTCCTATAGAATTAGTTACCCATGTTTCCCCATGTGAATTGAACATGGCTCTTTCAAAGTCACTAAGGGACCTTAAAACATTTCACAACTTGCTTTCTAAAAAAAAATTCTATGTTCTTCATTTAGTCCATATAATATTGAAGTACCATTTAAAAAATTAGACAAAAAAAGCATATTAAATATCAAACGTCAAAATGAAATTTTCTAATTAGAAAATGTTAAAAATGTAGAACTACTTGACATTTGTTAAAAGTATGATGTTAGATATAGTAAAACAAAACAAAAGCAAAATAAAACAAAACAAAACCCTGGTGGTGCCACTTACCTATTTCGACTATCCCTATAAATGTAAGATTTTGGATATAGGACATTTTGTACAAAATGTGAAGTCTGCATTTTTAATCATATTATAAAACAAAGGTAAATGTACAATATTAAAATGAAACCATACTGAAACCACACCAAAAAAGACACTCATAATATTGACATTTATGATGTACAGACATATTTTGAAAGTGTGAGGATGTCAAATGCAGACTTTATGAAGAAAACTAATGATCAAATCACTGTGTTTTTTTGATGTAGAAGTTTCAAAATCAATTTGATACAGACTAAATAGTGTAGTATGCAATAATATATAAGGTGAACAATTATTGAAGGGAATCCAAGTACTGATTAGGGAACCTGAGGTGGTCAATTATTAAATAGTACTCTTGTCAAAGAAAATTTGTTTCTGTCAAAACTTTTCTTTAAAATTGTTATTTGGTGAATCTACATGTTCAGTAAAGAACAGAAATAAAAAATAGGAAAAAAAGACATTCTTACATATTAAGCTTTGCACAATCAACCAAATATTGATTTTTTTTCTTAGGGAAAAATTAGATTTTTCCCCCAGAATTCTCTCACACAAACATAACTGAACATCTAAAATCAAGGATATTTAAAGCTTATCAGCTAAGTATGGAATTTCAAGCAATGGTATGTCAAAATTCATAAGGCCTTGCTTTATTCAACAAATATCATCCTTTTTCCCTCAATAGGAGAAAGCATTTAATTTTTTTTAAAGTATAGATTTCATGACAGTAAAATAGGTAGATATTTTCCCAGTTTCTCAGAAAGTGTTTTTTTTTTCCTTTAGTTAGAGTAATTTTTTAGAATATTTATTTATTTGAGTGATAGAGGGAGAGTGTGCATGTGGTGGTGGTGGTGGAGGGAAGCAAGGGGAGAAGGAAAAAGAATCTAAAGCAGACTCCCTGATGAGCACAGAAACCCATGCAGGACTCTGTCCCAGGACCCCAAGATCATGACCTGAGCTGAGGTCAAGAGTTGGACACTTAAATGACTGAACCACCAGGTGCCCATAACTAGAGTAATTTTTTGACATAGTACTCACTCTTGCTCTTGAACAAAAGAAATCCCTTCCTCCAAAATGATTTTCTTAAATGGAGACATTTTCATTGCCTCTAAGATGCAATCTTCCAGGAGAGTTTGAAAAAAGTCTTCATAGTCTTTGACAATTTTAGAATTCCAATTCTAAAAATTTATCTTAGGAAAATTACTAAGAATAATCACCAATGAGAATGTTTATTTTACTGTTATTTAGACAGCAAAAAGGTGGAAGCAATGTAAGTGCCCCAAATCAGGAAACTACACAAATCATCGTGCGTTCACAGGATGGACTATAATAGTGTCGATCAATATTTATTAGCACGTAAGTGTATTAACATTGTACTGTTAAGTAAAACATCAGGTTACAAAGTATTCTGAAATGATCCTATTTTGTGTTTTTTTATGAAGTTTGGAAATAGATCCTGAAATTATTAGTAGTTATTTTAGGGTGATAAGATTTTTGGTTGGTCTTCTAAAGATACAAATGTAGTGATCTGAAGGGGCATGTGCACTCAAATGTTTACAGCAGCAATGTCCACAATAGCCAAACTATGGAAAGAACCTAGATGTCCATGAACAGATGACTGGATAAAGAAGATGCGGTATATATATACAATGGAATACTATGCAGTCATCAAAAGAAATGAAATGTTGCCATTTGTGACGACATGGATGGAACTAGAGAGTATTATGCTTAGCGAAATAAGTCAATCAGAGAAAGACAACTATCATATGATCTCCCTGATATGAGGAAGTCGAGAAGCAACATGGGGGGTTTGGAGGGTAGGAAAAGAATAAATGAAACAAGATGGAATTATGAGGGAGACAAACCATAAGAGACTCTGAATGTCACAAAACAAATTGAGGGTGGCTGGGGAGAGGGGGCTAGGGAGAGGGTGGTTGGGTTATGGACTTTGGGGAAGATATGTGCTTTGGTGTGTGCTGTGAAGTGTGTAAACCTGGCGATTCACAGATCTGTACCCCTGGGGCTAATAATACAGTATATGTTAATAAATAAATTAATTAATTTAAAAAAAGATTTTTGGTTGGTTTTTATCATCTTCCTTATGCTTATTTACAATAAAACATCTTTATACAGGTGTGCAGCATTTGTATAGTGAGAAAAATTACACATTCAAAATTATAATTATATAAAATTATGGTCTCTATATATGCTTATATAGAGATATAGATCATAGCAGAGGCAAAAACAAGGTTCCAGCCATCAAAAGGATTGCTAAGATGTGAAAATTGACATCTTGTGTTTTGGGAATCATAGACAGGCTGATTCTTTGCTCTGAGGCTGGGAAATAGAATCTGCTGGACTCGGTTAGAAACATATTTTTAGTTTCCCTCAGAAAATGAGAATCAACTAAAAATTATTACCTAGAACTTATACTGATATGCAACCGTGTTGAGCCTCAAGCCCTGCCAGGTACCTCTGCTTTATCTCAGGTCCTCTCCGCCCCAGGACAATAGTGCTTTGGGAGTTGCAGTTTCATACCTGGCTTATGAGCTATTTCATATGATCATCTCACTCCCGGCAGTCTAGCCAAGTTGAAACCCATGTCATGGAAAAGTGTCCCACTTGCACATGAAAAGTATCATTTCTACCTGGAAAGATCCTCATCCTTGTTCCATCCCCAACACCAAAGTCTGCTTATCTTTAAAAGCCCTGTTGAAATGCTGCCTACCCTGGAGGTTGTTCTTCCCCAAACAATATGTTCTCTCTGCTTCAGAGTTCTCCTTCCAAGGAAACCATTTCTGATCTATACCATCAAGATGAGTCTTTCCCTTCTGTCCTTGACCTTTTATACTCTTTTCCCCTTTTGAGTTCACACAAAGTGAGAAAAAAAAAGAAGTATGTCAATCAACTTAAAATTATATTTATTAGTCTGCATATTTCAATACACAATGTACATTGTTTCTCCCATGAGATTGTAAGCTTTTCTAGAACAGGGATAAATTTCCTATTATATCTGGTAACACAGAGCACAATATAGAGTAGGTGCTCAGCATGCTTGTCACACAAAAGTTTTCAATGTAAGGATTCTGCAATGACATAGGTTGATGGCTACAAGGATGCTGAGACAGAAATCTCAAACCATGTGTCTCTGAAGCAATACCAGTCAACATCTTGGAAGGAAAGAAGGGGCAGCATCCACCTGTAGAAGCCTTTGCCCCTCAGGTGACCTCAGGGATTCACAGCAGCCAGGGCTCCAACTCCACGTTGTTGGCTGAGCTGAGTGCATAGAAGACAGAAGTAGGAGTGCAGCTTATGGGGACCAGGAAGTGTTTCCCAGCCCTAAATAGAGGGGGCAAGCCTGAGCTTCCCAGCATCGTGAATTCAGAAAGGTGGATGAGAGAGAGCCACTATACTTATGTCCCTCTCCTTAGGGCTGGTCACCTCAGCACTCCTCCTCTTTGATGTGGTAGACTGTGCCACCACTGAGGCAGCGGGGCTTCTTGTGGTGAGCCCTCTGAGAGCTGCCAGGGCTCTGCTCCCTGGGCTTTTGGGAACCAGAATTGTAGCCTCCTGAACAGAGGTCACAGCAGGGAGCAGAGCAGGGAGCCAGGGAGGCGTTTGGGCACTGTCGAGGTGAGCATTTGGGAGCACTAGGGGGCTCCCAGGATTCCTGCTTCTGTTGTGACATCAGTGGACTAGCGAGTGGAAGCTGGAAGGCAAAAGAGAATTCAATTAAGTCAGGTCCTTGAGTTATCTGTTTCTTTTCTCCATGGGCTGGATCTGTCAAAATAGAGCTGGCATTTACAGTCTGCTAAATCCATCCTAGGAGGGACAGAAATGGATCTGAGTGGGTACATTTGAGGAGTAAGCCATGGTGGGAACTCCCAGGGGACCCACTCACCAACAACCAAGCTATTAACTTAATCCTCTTCTTAAACTAAGTGCAGCTGAATTGGGCAGACTGTCTACTTTCCCAGACCAGGGTCCACCACGGTCAGATGTAAAGGAATAACGAATCTCTACTCTTTTTCTTCATTCAGTCTTACTTTGTCCTGAGATTCCTAAGCTTGGGTATATCTTCTCTGCTTCTTTAACACTCTGACTTCTATTACTTTTTTCCATGTTAAATCATTTGAGGTCTTTTGTAGGGACCACTTCCCTTCCCTTCTCCCTGCCCCGAAGCTCTCTTACCTGGCTTATCTACTCCCTGGGCAGAAGCAGAGGAGAGATCAGGCCTGCCTTGGCCACATCTGAGTGAGGGACATGCAAGTGTTTCCTCACCCAGAGGTAGCCTCACCCTAGAGAAGGATGTTTGGACAAATCATTCCAGGAGGAGGAGTCTGGAGGCCTTTTATCCATCCTCCACTGAAGCCTTCCAGCTACATATTATTGGAGGGCAGCTGTGCATGGACTATTTATGCAGATGTTTCACAATTCCCAGGTCTGAATTCCTCAGTGGAATGCAGCAGGATGTGGGCCAAAGGGAAACCCTTGCAAATCAGTGAACAGAGACTGTGACCTTCAGTGTGGCCTGAGTGGAGTGGGTACACTGGCTAAGTCTCTGTGGACTGAAAGGGATCTGATCACTGTGGAGATCTCTCTAGAACTGATGGGGAAGGACCAAGTTCAATATCACCCAAGTCTGATGAAAACCCTTCTTTCCAACCCCTCTCTTCATCCATGCCTTCTACCACTCAGCTCAAGGCCACCACCTCCATGATGACTTGCCTGGTCCAACAGGCCACGTCCGAGTCCTCCCTACTCTGAATGTCAGAGACACTTCTCACAGTCTTTATAGCTGCTTATGACCAAGGTGACCTACATATTTGTCCTATCACCTTTTTTACACAATTCCTTGATGACAGGACCTTGTCTTTCATCACTTCTAAATTCCTAGGACCTGATACTGTCCCTGACATAAAGAAGATGCTCATTAAGAATGGAGTAATCTATATGCCATTAAAATAGAGTATTTTGGGAGAACAAAAAATAGGGAAAAAACAAAACGCACTCATTTTTGTTCTGTGGCTCAAATCTCAATCTCTTGTGTTCACCATCCACACCTAAGGATTCTGGGAACACCCTTCCATAAACAGTACAGAGAAATGGGTGGGCGTACCTCACCTTACATATCAGGCTGAGGAAAGTGTGGAGAGTAAGATATTCATAAACCCTGCTACCTCTTCATGCAAAGGGGAGTTTTTATGTAATTATTGGGAGACCCCAAGGAAAAGCTTTCTGCAGCATGAAAAAATTTTCTTTATCTTTTATGAAAATTGATATCAGCACATTTTGCCTATGCTTAGGGTGGGAACAGTCTCTTTGAAATATGGTCCCTCACTTCTGGAGGTATCTCTCTCAGAATTGCTGCACACATGCCAGCTAAGTGAAAAGGTCCTATTTAAACTCCTGTGGTAGGAATAGTGTCTTTCTTGCCTCTGTGTTCTCAGTGCCTACCACACAATAGGTACTCAGGAAACAGGTGAATAAGTGAAAAAGATGAGCAAATAGAAGAAAATTCTGATTATAGGGGCTGTCTTCAAAGACTTTAAGTGATACATAGGACAAAGGAGAACAAGGTTGGGCTGCACAATGACAGATAAGGACCTAACCAGTGTGGAGAGTGGGACAATATCAGAGGAGAAGCTACTGGAGCTAATCCAGCAGGACATGACTATCAGGGTCTACCTGCTTCATTTGGGAAGGCTACCAGGGGGAAGCAGTCTTTGACATGTAGTTTGGTTGAAGGGAGAGGAAATTCCTTGTAAGTGAAATAGAGATGGTATGGGTAGTACAATGAGAATAGAGAAAAGGATAGACAATAGAGAAGGTGGGAGATGGTATGAAGTCTATTAGAACAGAACCCTGGGACCACCTGAGTTAGGTGCTTCAGAGATCTGACCCCTTCTTCCCTTACTTCCTTCACCTTCCACTATCTACCCTTCCTTTTCCCTTCTCCTCCTTGTCAGGTATCAAAAGGAACCCTACCTGCTCTTCAGAAAGTTGTCATGGACACTAAGCACTGGGAGAGCAGAATAACTCTTGTCTTATTGTACCAGTGGCTCCTTTTCCCCAGCTGGACTCATACCACATAAGCCTGCACTCTGACACTTTATGCATCTCAAATGTGTTTCTTTAGGGTTAACTAACAACTACCCAACCCCTAACCAAGGGCTAAGGACTCTTCTTGGAGGTTCCTCTCTGGGCGAACATCCCTGCTTCCTCTCCAGGTCCCCCAGACCACTCCTCATAATGCTTGCCTCCTGAAGTTTCAGAGTCCAGTCATTTTCAGTACAACAAAGTTCATCATGCTGTTGGGGACTGACCCACCTGAATTAACACTTTCAGTGGATGAAAGCAGCATCTAGCTTTGCCCATTCCCTGAAGTAAGCCACCTTGAAGTCCCTGAGTGGTCCACCGTCCTACTAGACTTCCAAGTGCAGTGAGTTTCATGGCAGATCTCAGACATGGGCCTCCTTCCAGTGCCACTCCATTTCTCCCTGGCTCAGGTGTCTATAGGCATGACTCTCTAATTTGATATTTGCTAAGAACTTACTGTGTCCAGGATACAAGAAGTAGTAAGAGCCCTGTCTTGTGCTTCAGAGCTTTCACTCTAGAGATAATGCAGACACATTACACATTAATAGATAACATAAGACAGTATGTGAAAGATGACCAAACAGAGAGACAGGTAAATTCTGATTGCTGAAAATGGAACTAGTCAGCTTAAATATACCAGAGTGATAGTATTTTGAATGTTGTTGCTCCTGCTATTATTAGCATCTCATACTAGTCTGGGGACAAAAGCCCATCTCCGAGAATTATCCACCCCTTCTCATTCCCAGTCCCAATTTTTGACCCTATTCCTCTAAGCAATAGATGTTTCCTTTGCTCTTTCCTCCTTCCCTCCCTCCCTTCCATCCTTCCTTCCTTCTTTCCTTCCTGCCTTCCATCCTTCCTTCCCTTCTTTCTTTATTTCTGGCCTTTTTTTTTTTTTTTTTTGTACTTGATTTTCTTCTAAGAATATCCTCCCCTCTACTCTTTACCTTTGGAAAATTTTCCAAGCACCAATATGAACCCTATGTCCTCTGAAATGCATTCCCTGATAATGTCTGACCAAGAGAAACTTCCAGAGGCTTTATTGGTTGTCGTACATGTAATTCATTATTGTGCATATTTTTATGTGAGATTGAAAACATTTCAAGCATGAGGATATGTATCATATATTTCCTATCCTTTTTCAGTGTATGCAGTGGGTCAATGCACATACCAGTTATTAGGTCTTCAAAAATCCCTGCAGTAGATGGCTTTTATGATATTGAGGTATGTTGCCTCTATCCCTGTATTTTGAAGAGGTTTTTTCTTTTTTAAAGATTTTATTTATTTATTTGAGAGAGAATGAGTGAGAGAGAGCATGAGAGAGGAGAAGGTCAGAGGGAGAAGCAGACTCCCCAAGGAGCTGGGAGCCTGATGCGGGACTCGATCCTGGAAGTCCGGAATCATGACCTGAGCCTAAGGCAGTCGCTCAACCAACTGAGCCACCCAGGTGCCCTGAAGAGTTTTAATCAGCAAAGGATGCTGTATTTTGTCAAATGCTTGTTTCTCCATCAATTAAGAGGATCATATGGTTCTTGTCTCTTCTTTTGTTAATGTGATCCATCATGTTGATTGATTTGCAAATGTTGAACCATCCTTTCATCCCAGAAATGTACCCCACCTGGTCATGGTGAATAATCCTTTTAACGTACTGTTGAATCGTATTGGCTAGTATCTTGTTAAGTGTTTTGGCATCCATATTCATCAGGGATATTGGTCTATAATTCTTCTTTTTGAGGGGCTCTTTGTCTGGTTTTGGGATCAGAGTAATGCTGGTCTCATAGAAGGGGTTTGGAAATTTGCCTTCCATTTCAACTTTTTGGGAACAATTTCAGTAGAATGGATATAATTTCTTTTTTAAAATGTTTGGTAGAATTCCCTTGGAAAAATATCTCGCCCTGGGCTCTGGATTTTTGGGAGGTTTTTGAATACTCTTTCAATTTTTTGCTGATTATTGGTCTGTTCAGACTGTCTGTTTCTTCCTGTTTCAGTCTTGGTAGTTTATAAGTGCCAGGAATGCATCTATTTCTTCCAGATTGCCTAATTTGTTGGCATATAGCTGTGGTAATAAGTTCTAATAATTGTTTCTAGTTCCTTGATATTGGTCGTGATTTCTTCCCTTTCATTCATGATTTTATTAATTTGGGTCCTTTCTCTTTACTTTTGCATAAGTCTGGCCAGAGTTTTATTGATTGTATTAATTCTTTCAAAGAACCAGCTTCCAGTATTGTTGATCTGTTCTACTGTTCTTCTTGTTTCTATTTCATTGATTTCTGCTCTAATATTTATTATTTCTCTTCTCCTGCTTGATTTAGGCTTTATTTGCTGTTCTTTCTCCAGATCCTTTATTTAGGTTTAAGGTTAGCTTGTGCATTTGGGATTTTTCTAATTTTTTTAAAATTTTTTATTTTTTTAATTAACATACAATGTATTATTAGCCCCAGGGGTACAGGTCTGTGAATTGCCAGGTTTACACACTTCACATTACTCACCATCAAGCATACCTTCCCCAATGTCCAAAACCTAACCACCCTCTCCCTACCCCCTCCGCCCAGCCACTCTCAGCTTGTTTTGTGAGATTAAGAGTCTCTT